TCAAGAAATTCAAATTTTCTGATATCCTGTACTGTAAGACTACTACCTGCATGCTAAGGAATTTGAATAATCATGGTCATTACAAGTAGATCCGAGAGCACTTGAAGTTACTGAAAGCTTGTTGATTTATTGATTACTAAACGTCCAGTGGCAGATAGTTCATGCATGTTCAGGACAAAAAAAAATTTACACTAAATACAACAGGTAGGTCCTGTAATAGGGGTCGTCCAGGATGAAGGTTTGGAAATTTGGAAAAGCCATTGGAAAATGAAGGTTTTATTTTGGATAGAGACAGAAATTTTGCCTTTCAGCAGACCACCTACGGACCCCTAAAAGAGTTGTTGCAAGAGTTCTTAACGTGAAGAGAGCGTGGCATTCTCTCTACACTATGCATCGTCTTTTACTCCCTCATTCTGACCAGACGTAACTGCTTATTCATACATCCCGCGCAAAATAAACGCCCAACTTTGGCAGTGGTTTTATTGTAGGTCGAATGAAGACCAAGTGAAAGCTAGTTGAAAGCCAAAAACAACTAAAACATCATGTATCTAAGAATAAAATGTCAGGGTTTTGAGCATGTTTAGGTTCTTTCAAGCATTTGTTGATAGAAGTGAAATGATCTGAACCAACGTGCAAGTTTTTATACGACCGCAAAAAAAATTTTGTGGTCGTATATTGGTATGACGTTGGCGTCGTCGTCGTCGTCCGAAGACACATTAGTTTTCGCACTCTAACTTTAGTTTGTGAATGGATCTCAATGAAATTTTACCATAAGGTTCAATACCACAAAAGGAAGGTGGGGATTGATTTTGGGGGTTATGGTACCAACAGTTAAGGAATTAGGGGCCAAAAATAAGCATTTTTGTAACTTCCAGACATAACTTGTGTGTAAGTGTATGGATCTCTCTGACATTGTACCACAAGGTTCCATATCACAAAGGGAAGGCTGGGATTGATTTTGGAGGTAATTGCCTCCAAATTTTAGGAATTAGGGGCCAAAAATGGCCAAAAAAAAAGCATTTTTCTAGTTTCATGACAATAACTTGTGTGTAAGTGTATGGATCTTTATGAAATTGTACTACAAGGTTCCATAATATCACAAAGGGAAAGCTGGAATTGAGTTTGGGTGTAATTGCCCAAAAATTTTAGGAATAAGGGGCCAAAAATAGCATTTTTGTCGAGCCTTTGACTTTTGTCGAAAAAGCGAGACATAGCGATCCTACATGTCGTCGGCGGCGTCCACAAATATTCACTCTGTGGTTAAAGTTTTTGAAATTTTAATAACTTTCTTAAACTATCCTGGATTTCTACCAATCTTGGACAGAAGCTTGTTTATGATCATAAGATTATATTCAAAAGTAAATTTTGTAAAAAAAAAATTCCATTTTTTCCGTATTTTACTTATAAATGGACTTAGTTGTTCTGCCAGGAACCATTACATTCACTCTGTGGTTCAAGTTTTTGAAATTTTAATAACTTTCTTAAACTATCCTGGATTTCTACCAAACTTGGAAAGAAGCTTGTTTATGATCATAAGATAGTATCCAGAAGTAAATTTTGAAAAAAAAAAATCCCTTTTTTCTGTATTTTACTTATAAATGGACTTAGTTTTTCTTCCAGTCAACATTACATACAGTCTGCAGTTTGAGTTTTTAAAACATTTATTAGATTCATAAATTATCCTGGATTTTTACCAAACTTGGACAGAAGCTACTTACAATCAAAAGATAGTATAGAGAGGAATATTTTTATTAATTTTTTTCCTCATTTTTGTTGAGCCTGCGATTAACAGCAAAAGTAGGCGAGACACTGGGTTCCGTGGAACCCTTAGGAATTTTTCTAGTTTCCAGACAATAACTTGTGTTCAAGTGTATGGATTTCTCTGAAATTGTACTGCAAGGTACCATATCACAAAGGGAAGGCTGGGATTGATTTTGGGGGTAATTCCCTCAGTATTTTAGTAATTAGGGACCATAAAAGGGAAAAAAAACAGCATTTTTCTAGTTTCAGGACAATAACTTGTGTGTAAGTGTATGGATCTTTATGAAATTGTACTGCAAGGTTCCATATCACAAAGGGAAAGCTGGGTTTGAGATTGGGGGTAATTGCCCTAAACATATAGGAATTTGGGGCCAAAAAACAAGCATTTTTCTAGTTTCCAGACAATAACTTTTGTTCAAGTGTATGGATCTCTCTGAAATTGTACTGCAAGGTACCATACCACAAAGCGAAGGCTGGGATTGAGTTTGGGGGTGATGAATCATAAGGGGGTTCAAAAAATTTGGGGGGGGGGGATTTTTTTTTCCTTTTTTTTCTTAAAAATTTTCCATTTTAAATTGGTTATTTCTGATTTATATATAAAAGCAAATTATAATGATATGGTTTGAATAGGTAAATTAAAAATTTTTAAGTTCTTAGACCACTTTCATTCTGTGTCAGAAACCTATGCTGTGTCAAATATTTAATTACAATCCAAATTCAGTGCTGTATCAAGCTTGAATGTTGTGTCCATACTTGCCCCAACTGTTCAGGGTTCGACCTCTGTGGTCGTATCAAGCTGCGCCCCAGCGGAGCATTTTATTAGTTTCTATATAAGGTGGAATATAATGTACATACAATTCTATCCAATACTCCATTCACTAGGGATGATAGACTAGTGTACAAATGACATTTGATACTTAAAGAGTTTTGATGACTTAACGTGCATCTACAGATAACATTGTCATTTTTTTTTCTTTTTTTTTCTTCAATGAAAAAAAATATTTGTGAAAAAAATTATGTGTAGGCACGTGCCTAAAGTGCCTAACGACAGCTACACCCCTGTTAGTACTTGTTTAATGCAGTTAATGAAATAATTTCTTTCTAAGGCTAAAGAATTTTGTGAGATAAAAAGTGGATCAGATGGGAGATTAGGGATAAGACTTTCTCTGATTCGAAAATATTTAATTAAGATTTTATGAGGACATATTTGATTTTGTACTTTATGAAGTTGAATATCTATACCCTTCCTGAAGGGATCTGTTTTTGACTGTTTCAGTTTCAAAACTGTCATATCTTTATGAAATATAATATCTCCAATACATAAATTTACAGATGAGTGAAATTGGTTGGCTTTCAAAACAGTGAATTCTCCACATCTCATAAAGCCATAAAAACCTACTGTACAGACTGTCTCTAGCATTTAATCAATAAAAGGGGTAAACAGTCTAAACACACCTTGTCTAAGACGAAATATGATTTTTTCTAAAATCTCAAAAGTAATAGATAATCTCTTATGGTTCCTAGGTTTTTGAAGTTTTTTGACAAGAGTTCAAAATGTAAGAGAGTCTATCTAATGGTGTGCTGTTGTCAGATTCTAAAGAGTCCTTACAACTATTCTGCAAATACCTGTATCTTATTCCACATAAATACAATTTTATGGTAGAATACTGTAGTTTTAAGAAATGGAAACAATATGCTATAAAGAAAATTAAAATGTCTTCAAATAGGAGGTAAGAAATCATATTTAAAATTGTTCAGCAACATAAATCTCTCAATATGTTTGAAACCAGTTACATATGCACTCTTTGTTTCGCTAGCAATAGCAACGTCCCAAAGTTGATTAACTATTTTGTTCAGGACCACATTACTTCTAAACTGGTTGGGTACTGAGGAGGTTCTAGGGCTGCATTTGGAGCCAGTCTGCGGAAACGGTCTATCTGTAAACGAGATAAAGCGTCACTTATTTCATTTTCATATCCTGGTACATGTTTTGCACTAAAATGGAAGTTATATTTACAGGCACACCATGTTAATTGTCGCATTAATTTCATGATTTGCAAGCATTTAGAGTGACCTTTTTTCACTACTGCAACTGTTGCCTCATTATCGCAACAGAAAAGTATACGGTTTTTAGACCACCTGGAACCCCATAGAATAGCTGCCACTACTATTGGGTAAAGTTCTAGGAAAGCCATGGAATAGTTTTTTTCACATGGTAATTCTAAATTTCCTGACCATGAAGAATAAAACCCGTCTCCTTTATGATAACCTCCAAAACCTTTAGTTGATGATGCATCTGTAAATAGTTCCATGTCAAAAACTTGAAATATAATTTTTTTTGTAAAACATTTACTCCATTCCAATTGCTGAGAAAACGCAACTAAATCTGTTCGGCACTCCATACTTAGGTAAACATAATGGTGCAGATCATTGACGGTAGTGGACAGATTAATCAGATATGAAACAAAAGAGCGGCCAGGAAGAACCAACCTTGAAGCAAAATTTAAATGACCTTAAAGCTGTAAAGGTTCCCTTTTTGTGCATTTCCATTTCCTATGCATTTTTGATGTAGGCAGTCGAGCTTCCATTTATTTGGTGTCCAGTATAATACCTAGATATTCCAAACATTTGACTGGACCTTATGTTTTATGACTAGCTGCCTGTATGTTAAGTCTCTTAAAAATCATCATCATTATAGCCATGGTTCTTTCACCATCTGCTGATGGTGAATCAATGGTTAAAAAATCATCAAGCAAATGTAAAATGTTTGAAATTTTGTAGTTATGCTTTGCAATGTGGCAAATAGCTTGTGACACATTCGTTTCCGTTCTTTAACTTAAGTTTGCCTCAACCAAATGTTATGAAACTTATACACAATGCTTATTACCACAAAATACAGATCAAGTTTAAATTTTGATGGTGTCACTTTAATCTTTCTAGAGTTATGCCCCTTTACAAAAGAAAAAAATGCAGAATTTTTCGTTTCCGTTCTTTAACTTAAGTTTGCCTTAACCAAATGGTATGAAACTTATACAAAATATTTATTACTACAAAACTCAGATCTATAACAAATTTGGGTAGTGTCACTTTTACCGTTCTTCAGTTATGTCCCTTTATAACTTTATATGATATGCAAGCGGGGGCATCACCTGTGTCCCATGGACACATTCCCCATTTATAATGAACTGCCTTACATGTAGGTGTTTTACCATTTTCATTTACATGTTTCTTTTCTATAGTTCCTCTACAATTATTCATCAAGACCTTAACAGGAAAGGTAATCTCAATACACATTGACAGTAGTAGCACTATTTCGGATTTAAAGCATTCCATTCAGGACAAAGAAGGTATTCCACCTGATCAACAAAGACTTATACAAGGAGGCACTGGAATACAGTTGGCAGATGATTGCACTTTTGATGATTATGGTAAGTTAAGTGTGTACAGCAAATTGCACTTTAGATGATTATGGTACGTTGGTGTGCATGTGTGCAGCAAATTTGATGAGTGCTTGAAAGTAATTGTGCAGATCTAACTACAATACATGCAACAAACTAATATGATTAAAATAACTATAGCTAGTATAACTAAGTTTTTATACGACAGCAAAATTTTTTGCGCCCATATTATGTTATGGCGATGTCAGCGTCCGAAGACATTTTGGTTCACAGACAATAACTTGAGTATAAGTGTATGGATCTCTATGAAATTTTAGGACAAGGTTCCATACCACTAAAGGATGGTTTGGATTGTTTTTGGGTGTATTATCCAAGTGGTTTTGTAATTAGGGGCCAAAAAAGGTAAGTTTTACTGGTTCATAGAAAATAAATTGGTTCGCAGACAATAACTTTAGTATAAGTGTATGGATCAGTATGAAATTTTAGCACAAAGTACCATACCACAATAGGAAGGTCGGGATTGATTTTTGGGGTTATTGTCTTAGCTAATTTGTAATTAGGGACCAGAAAGGGGCCAAAAACAATTATTTGTCTGGTTTTAAGACAATAATAACTTGAGTATAGTGTATATATCTCTATTAAATTTTAGCACAAGGTTCCACACCACAATAGGAAGGTCGGGATTAATTTTGGGGGTTATTGTCATAGCTGTTTAGGAATTTGGGGCCAAGAAGGGCCTAACAAAAACAATTATTTGTCTTGTTCACAGACAATAACTTGAGTATAAGTGTATGAATCTCTATCAAATATTAGCACAAGGTTCCATACCACAATAGGAAGGTTGGGATTTATTTTGTGGGTTATTGTCATAGCTGTTTAATAATGAGGGGCCAAAAAAACGCATTTTTCATGTTTCAGGATAATAATTTGTGTAGAAGTATACATTTCTATGAAATTTTACCACCAGGTTCCATACTTCAAAAGGAAAGTTGGGATTGATTTTGGGGGGTCATGGCCCAAACCGTTAAATAATTACGGGTCGAAAAGTGGCCAAAAAACAACTATTTTTCTGGTTTGCAGGCAATAACTTGAGTATAAGTGTATGGATCTCTATTAACTTTTAGCACAAGGTTCCATACCACAATAGGAAGGTAGGGGTTTATTTTGAGGGTTATTATAGTAGCTGTTCAGGAATTAAGGGGCTAACAAAAACAATTATTTTTCTGGTTCACAGACAAAAACTTGAGTATAAGTGCATGGATCTCAATTAGATTTTAGCACAAGGTTCCTTACCACAATAGGAAGGTTGGGATTTATGTTGGGGGTTATTGTCATAGCTGTTTAGTAAAAAAGGGTCAAAAACAAGCACTTTTCATGTTTCAGGACAATAATTTGTGTATAAAAGTATGGATCTCTATGAAATTTTACCACAAGGTTCCATACTTCAAAAGGAAAGTTTGGATAGATTTGGGGGCCAAAAAACTAGGATTTTCTGGTTTCTGGACAATAACTTGAGTATAAGTCTATGGATTGCTATTTAATTGTGCCACAAGGTGTTATACCATAAAAGAAAGGTTGGGATTGATTTTGGGGGTTATGACCCTAATGGATTAGGAAAAAGGGGCCAAAAACAATACTTTTGTAATACTTTGTATAAATTTCTTATTTCTTGACCAATTTCAATGGAGTTTAATTCAAAATCTTAAATTCTTGGGGGTTCTTTAATATGCTGAATCTATTTAGAATGGGCCCTGTTTTTGAATTGGTCCAAAGGGTCCAAAATTAAACTTTCTTTGATTTCATCAAAAATTGAATTATTGCTGTTCTTTGATATGCTGAATCTAACCGTGTATTTAGATTTTTAATTTTAGGGCCTGTCTTCAAATTGGTCCACATTAAGGGTACAAAATTAAACTTTGTTTGATTTAAAAAAAATTGAATTCTTGGGGTTCTTTGATATGCTGAATTTATTCGTGTAATTAGACTTTTGAATTTTGGGCACAGTTTTCAAGTTGGTCCAAATTGGGGTCCAAAATTAAACTTTGTTTGATTTCATCAAAAATTGATTTAATAGTGTTCTTTGATATGCCCAATCCTACAGTGTTTTAGATTTTTGATTTTTGGGCACAGTTTTCAAAGTTGGTCAAAATTGCGGTCCAAAATTTAAATTTGTTTGATTTCATCAAAAATTGAATTATTTGTGTGTTTTTATGTGCCCAATCTAACAGTGTTTTAGGTTTTTGATTTAGGGCCTGTTTTGCAAACTGGTCCACATTAAGGTCCAAAGTATCCAAATTTAAACTTAGTTAGATTTTAACAAAAATTGAATTCTTGGGGTTCTGTGATATGCTGAATCTAAGCATATAATTAATTTTTTTTAATTTTGGGCACAGTTTTCAAGTTGGTTCTAATTGGGGTCCAAAATTAAACTTTGTTTGATTTTAACAAAAAATGAAGATATGGGGTTCTTTGATATGCTGAATTAAAGTGTGTATTTAGATTTTGAATTTTGGGTCCTGTTATCAAACAGGTCCACATTGAGGTCCAAAGGGTCCAAGTTTAAAGTTTGTTGGATTTCTTCAAAAATTTAATTCTTGGGGTTCTTTGATATGCTGATTCCAACCATGTATTTAGAATTTAGATATTGGACCATAATTGATAAATGTCCAATTTTAAATTATTTAAGTACTAAGACCACATTCATTTTGTGTCACAAACTATGCTATATCAAGTATTTAATCGGGATCTAAATTTAGAGCTGTATTGCACATTTGTTAGAAATTTTAAGTTGAGTCAAAGTTAAAAATAGATATAGCATCATATTCTAATTTTAGAAATTATGTATAAAATAAGTTGAAATTTACTGTTCATTTAATAGATATTTTAAAAAGAGGTCAGTTTTATAGATTTTTTAAAGACACTATTAATAATGAATGATATTTTCGAAATTGGTTTTTTTTTCATTTTTAGCTCACCTGACCTGAAAGGTCAAGTGAGCTTTTCTCATCACTTTGCGTCCGTCGTCCGTCGTCCGTAAACTTTTACAAAAATCTTCTCCTCTGAAACTACTGGGCCAAATTTAACCAAACTTGGTCACAATCATCATTGGGGTATCTAGTTTAAAAAATGTGTCCAGTGATCCCGTCAACCAACCAAGATGGCCGCCATGGCTAAAAATAGAACATAGGGGTAAAATGTAGATTTTGCCTTATATCTCTGAAACCAAAGCATTTAGAGCAAATCTGACATGGGGTAAAATTGTTTATCAGGTCAAGATCTATCTGGCCTGAAATTTTCAGATGAATCTGACAACCCGTTGTTGGGTTGCTGCCCCTGAATTGGTAATTTTAAGGAAATTTTGCCGTTTTTGGTTATTATCTTGAATATTATTATAGATAGAGATAAACTGTAAACAGCAATAATGTTCAGCAGAGTAAAATCTACAATTAAGTCCACTTGACCAAAATGGTCAATTGACCCCTTAATGAGTTATTGCCCTTTATAATCAATTTTTAACCATTTTTCGTAAATTTTTGTAATCTTTTACAAAAATCTTCTCCTCTGAAACTACTAAGACAAATTTAACCAAACTTGTCCACAATCATCATTAGGGTATATAGTTTTAAAAATGTGTCCGATGACTCAACCCGCGAACCAAGATGGCCGACATGGCTAAAAAATAGTACATAGGGCAAAATGCAGTTTTTGGCTCATATCTCTGAAACCAAAGCATTTAGAGCAAATCTGACATGGCGTAAAATTGTTAATCAGGTCAAGATCTATCTGTTTGTGTATTTTCAGACCAATCAGGCAAATCGTTGTTTGGTTGCTGCCCCTGAATTGGTAATTTTAATGAAATTTTGTCTTTTTAGCTCACCTGACCTGAAAGGTCAAGTGAGCTTTTCTCATCACTTTGCGTCCGTCGTCCGTAAACTTTTACAAAAATCTTCTCCTCTGAAACTACTGGGCCAAATTTAACCAAACTTGGCCACAATCATCATTGGGGTATCTAGTTTTAAAAATGTGTGGCGTGACCCTGTCAACCAACCAAGATGGCCGCCACGGCTAAAAATAGAACATAGGGGTAAAATGCAGTTTTTAGCTTATAACTCAAAAACCAAAGCATTAAGAGCAAATCTGACATGGGGTAAAATTGTTCATCAGGTCAAGATCTATCTGCCCTGAAATTTTCAGATGAATCGGACAACCCGTTATTGGGTTGCTGCCCCTGAATTGGTAATTTTAAGGAAATTTTGCTGTTTTTGGTTATTATCTTGAATATTATTATAGATAGAGATAAACTGTAAACAGCAATAATGTTCAGCAAAGTAAGATTTACAAATAAGTCAATATAACCGAAATGGTCAGTTGACCCCTTTAGGAGAAATTGCCCTTTATAGTCAATTTTTAACCATTTTTCGTAAATCTTAGTAATCTTTTACAAAAATCTTCTCCTCTGAAACAACTGGGCCAAATTAAACCAAACTTGGCCACAATCATCATTGGGGTATCTAGTTTAAAAAATGTGTGGCGTGACCCGGCCAACCAACCAAGATGGCCGCCACAGCTAAAAATAAAACATAGGGGTAAAATGCAGTTTTTGGCTTATAACTCAAAAACCAAAGCATTTAGAGCAAATCTGACATGAAGTAAAATTGTTTATCAGGTCAAGATCTATCTGCCCTAAAATTTTCAGATGAATCGAACAACCTGTTGTTGGGTTGCTGCCCCTGAATTGGTAATTTTAAGGAAATTTAGCTGTTTTTGGTTATTATCTTGAATATTATTATAGATAGAGATAAACTGTAAACAGCAATAATGTTCAGCAAAGTAAGATTAACAAATAAGTCAACATGACTGAAATGGTCAGTTGACCCCTTTAGGAGTTATTGCCCTTTATAGTCAATTTTTAACAATTTTTCGTAAATCTTAGTAATCTTTTACAAAAATCTTCTCCTCTGAAACTACGTGGCCAAATTAAACCAAACTTGGCAACAATCATCATTTGGTTATTTAGTTTTAAAAATGTGTGGCGTGACCTGGTCAACCAACCAAGATGGCCGCCACGGCTAAAAATAGAACATAGGGGTAAAATTCAGTTTTTGGCTTTTAACTCAAAAACCAAAGCATTTAAAGCAAATCTGACATGGGGTAAAATTGTTCATCAGGTCAAGATCTATCTGCCCTGAAATTTTCAGATGAATCGGACAACCCGTTATTGGGTTGCTGCCCCTGAATTGGTAATTTTAAGGAAATTTTGCTGTTTTTGGTTATTATCTTGAATATTATTATAGATAGAGATAAACTGTAAACAGCAATAATGTTCAGCAAAGTAAGATTTACAAATAAGTCAATATAACCGAAATGGTCAGTTGACCCCTTTAGGAGTAATTGCCCTTTATAGTCAATTTTTAACCATTTTTCGTAAATCTTAGTAATCTTTTACAAAAATCTTCTCCTCTGAAACAACTGGGCCAAATTAAACCAACCTTGGCCACAATCATCATTTGGTTATTTAGTTTTAAAAATGTGTGGCATGACCTGGTCAACCAACCAAGATGGCCGCCACGGCTAAAAATAGAACATAGGGGTAAAATTCAGTTTTTGGCTTTTAACTCAAAAACCAAAGCATTTAAAGCAAATCTGACATGAAGTAAAATTGTTTATCAGGTCAAGATCTATCTGCCCTGAAATTTTCAGATGAATCGGACAACCCGTTGTTGGGTTGCTGCCCCTGAATTGGTAATTTTAAGGTAATTTTGCTGTTTTTGGTTATTATCTTGAATATTATTATAGATAGAGATAAACTGTAAAAAACGATAAATGTCGGCAAAGTAAGATCTACAAATAAGTCAACATGACCGAAATTGCCAGTTGACCCCTTTAGGAGTTATTGCCCTTTATAGTCAATTTTAACCATTTTTTCGTAAATCTTAGTAATCTTTTACAAAAATCTTCTCCTCTGAAACTACTGGGCCAAGTTAATTATAGATAGAGATAATTGTAAGCAGGAAAAATGTTCAGTAATTTAAGATGTACAAACACATCACCATCACCAAAACACAATTTTGTCATGAATCCATCTGCATCCTTTGTTTAATATTCACATAGACCAAGGTGAGCGACACAGGCTCTTTAGAGCCTCTAGTTTGGTTATTATCTTGAATATTATTATAGATAGAGATAAACTGTAAACAGCAATAATGTTCAGCAAAGTAAGATCTGCAATTAAGTCAACTTGACCAAAATGGTCAGTTGACCCCTTAAGGAGTTATTGCCCTTTATAGTCAATTTTTAACCATTTTTCGTAAATTTTTGTAATCTTTTACAAAAATCTTCTCCTCTGAAACTACTAAGACAAATTTAACCAAACTTTTACACAATCATCATTAGGGTATATAGTTTAAAAAATATGTCCGATGACCCCGCCCGCGAACCAAGATGGCCGACATGGCTGAAAATAGAAGATAGGGGTAAAATGTAGATTTTGGCTTATATCTCTGAAACCAAAGCATTTAGAGTAAATCTGACATAGGGTAAAACTGATTATCAGGTCAAGATCTATCTGCCCTGAAATTTTCAGACCAATCAGGCAACACGTTGTTGGGTTGCTGCCCCTGAATTGGTAATTTTCAGAAAATTTTGCAGCTTTTGGTTATTATCTTGAATATTATTATAGATAGAGATAAACTGTAAACAGCAATAATGTACAGCAAAGTAAGATCTACAAATAAGTCAACATGACCAAAATTGTCAATTGACCCCTTAAGGAGTTATTGCCCTTTATAGTCAATTTTTTTACAATTTTTTCATAAATTTTGTAAATTTTTGTAAATTTTTACAAAATATTTTCCACTGTAACTACTGGGCCAAGTTCATCATAGATAGAGATAATTGTAAGCAGCAAGAATGTTCAGTAAAGTAAGATCTACAAACACATCACCATCACCAAAACACAATTTTGTCATGAATCCATCTTTGTCCTTTGTTTAATATGCACATATAGCAAGGTGAGCGACACAGGCTCTTTAGAGCCTCTAGTTTGAAGAACTTCGTGGTAGGTTTGTTTGTTATTCTGTATAAATTGATTTTCAGAATGTTATATATATATTTTATGAAGCAAACCCCTTTGAAAACTCAGCTAATATTGTCCATTAACAAATAGATAAATTAAATTATTTGGTGTAAGAAGATATTATGGTCCATTAATAAATAAATGAATTAAATTCTTGGTGTACTTGGATATGCTGAATCTAACCGTGTATTTAGATTTGGATATTGGACCATAATAGGTAAAATTCAATTTCAAATTTTTCAGTTCTTTGACCACATTTTGTTCTGTGACAGAAACCTATGATGTCTCAAATATTTAATCACAATCCAAATTAAGAGCTGTATCAAGCTTGAACGTAGTTTCCATACTTACCCCAACTGTTCAGGGTTCGACCTCTGTGGTCGTATCCAGCTGCGCCTAGCGGAGCATTTTATTCAGTATTTTTTTTCTTTTTCAGCAAAATAAGTTTTCTTCGTCACTAGATTTTGTAAGCTTTGAATTGCATACAAAATGAAAATTATGGCTGAAACTATTGTTGTATAAAAGCGCTTTGTAGAGTTGGAATTTTATAACCAGTATTTATGCACCAAATGCCTTAAAATTGATATTGCTAAGAACTTCATGAATGAGATTTATCTAAATGGTTTTGAATTTAGATATTTAGGATAACTCATCTTGAAAAATTAGGTTTGGCAAAGACAGGAATTTGTGTGAAATAATATTAAATGTATGTTTTGTAGGTATTACAGATAGTGATACCCTTCACTTGGTACTGAGACTTCGAGGAGGTGGATGTAGTCCAGAACAATGGATAAAGATGGGATCAGAAAAATATGGTATGACATTTTTAGCTCACCTGGCCCACAGGGCCAAGTGAGCTTTTCTCATCACTTGGCGTCCGTCGTCCGTTGTCTGTCGTCAGTAAACTTTTACAAAAATCTTCTCCTCTGAAACTACTGGGCCAAATTTAACCAAACTTGGCCACAATCATCATTAGGGTATCTAGTTTAAAAAAAGTGTCCGGTGACCCGGCCAACCAACCAAGATGGCCACCATGGCTAAAAATAGAACATAGGGGTAAAATGTAGATTTTGGCTTATATCTCTGAAACCAAAGCATTGAGAGCAAATCTGACATGGGGGTAAAAATGTTTATCAGGTCAAGATCTATCTGCCCTGAAATTTTCAGATGAATCAGACAACCCGTTGTTAGGTTGCTGCCCCTGAATTAGTAATTTTAAGGAAATTTTGCCGTATTTGGTTATTATCTTGAATATTATTATAGATAGAGATAAACTGTAAACAGCAATTATGTTCAGCAAAGTAAGTTCTACAAATAAGTCAACATGACCAAAATGGTCAGTTGACCCCTTAAGGAGTTATTGCCCTTTTATAGTCAATTTTTAACAATTTTTCGTAAATTTTTATCTTTTACAAAAATCTTCTCCTCTGAAACTACTAAGATGAATTTAACCAAAGTTGTAAACAATCATCATTAGGGTATGTAGTTTAAAAATTGTGTCTGATGACCCCGCCAGCGAACTAAGATGGCCGACATGGCTAATAATAATACATAGGGTAAAATGCAGTTTTTGGCTCATATATCTAAACCCAAAGCATTTCGAGCAAATCTTTCAAAAAACAAAATTGTTCATTAGGTCAAGATCTATCTGCCCTTAAATTTTCAGACCATTCAGGCAACCCGTTGTTGGGTTGCTGCCCCTGAATTGGTAATTTTTAGAAAAATTTCCAGCTTTTGGTTATTATCTTGAATATTATTATAGATAGAGATAAACTGTAAACAGCAATAATGTACAACAAAGTAAGACCTACAAATAAGTCAATTGACCCCTTGAGGAGTTATTGCCCTTTATAATCAATTTTTAACAATTTTCATAGATTTTGTAAATTTTTACAAAATAATTTCCACTGAAACTACTGGGCCAAGTTCATTATAGATAGAGATAATTGTAAGCATCAAGAATGTTCAGTAAAGTAAGATCTACAAACTCATCACCATCACCAAAACACAATTTTGTCATGAATCCATCTGTGTCCTTTGTTTAATATGCACATAGACCAAGGTGAGTGACACCGGCTCTTTAGAGCCTCTAGTTAGCTCATCTGGCCTAAAAGTCCATGTGAGCTTTTGCCATCACTTGGTGTCCGTAGACATAGGGATGCTAAACTGACCGCAAATACTATTTGTAAGAAGCTTTATATTTCAGAAGGAAAATGACCAGGGTTTCATACCTGGTATACAGATGACTTACTAAGTACCCATCTGTCATATATCCATTGTCCTTTTCATTTTCATTTTTTAGAGACTGCTTAAAAAACTGTTTAGTTTTTATGCCAAAGCTGTAGCGGAGGGGTCATTAAGTTTTACCCTTGTCCGTCTACATCCGTACTTCCCTAAATTGGTTTCCGTTTTCTTACTTGAGTTTGCCTAAACCAAATGTTATGAAACTTATACACATTGCTTATTACCACAAAACACAGATTAAGTTTGAATTTGGGTAGCTTCACTTTTACCTTTCTAGAGCTTAACAAATGGAAAAATTGCTGAATTTACGACGAAAGATACCAGAGGGACAGTCAAACTCATAGATCGAAAACAAACTGACAACGCCATGGCCAAAAATAAAAAGACAAACAGACAAATAATAGTACAGATGACACAACATAGAAAACTAAAGACTAAGCAACACGAACCCCACCAAAAACTGGGGGTGATCTCAGGTGCTCTGGAAGGGTAAGCAGATCCTGCTCCACATGTGGCACCCGTCGTGTTGCTTATGTTATTACAAATCCGGTGAATAGTCTAATTCCGTAAGTCACATTCAGGAAAAGGGAAGGGTATTGTAGTTACGACATAAGGAACATATCCGATATCATCTGTGAAACGGTTATTCCATAACGGTCAACCAACTCGTGATGGCGTCCGTAAAATTTACGAAGGGATGATTTCAACTTCACCATTTGGAACTCTTGGTTTAATAGCTTCCTTGTGAGCAGCAATCCTCTATCAAGGAAATCATGATAGGAAACACAAGCCCGGGAATATCGTATCAATTGGGAGATATATACTCCGTAAGAAGGCGCTGCTGAAATGTGCTACATAGAAATGGAAAGTTCACAATTGGGAAGCTGAAATCATCTCTTTTGTCGTAAAGTTTTGTTTTCAACCGACCCTCATTGTCAATTTCTAGATGTAAGTCAAGATATGAGGCAGACTTAACTGTATCTGTAGTATCCTTTATCTCTAACTTAAGTTTGCATCAACCAAATGTTATGAATCTTATACACGATGCTCATTACCACAAAACACAAATCAACTTTGAATTTTGGTGGCATCACTTAGATTTTTCTAGAGTTATGCCCCTTTACAATGAAAAAATTGCTGAATTTTTCGCTTCCGTTCTCTAAAGTTTTCCTCAACCAAATGTTATGAAACTTATACACAATGCTTATTACCACAAAACTCAGATTAAGTACAAATTTGGTAGTGTTACTTTTACTGTTCCTGAGTTATGTCCCTTTATAACGTTATATGCAAGCAGGGGCATCATCTGTGTCCCATGGACACATTTCCCACTTATTTGGTTATGTGAATTTCTTATTTATTTTGAGTAATAGGATAACTGTATTTTGAATGCTGTGAATTCATTATTATTATTCGTGGGATATCAATTTTCAAGGATTTCATGGGTTCAAATAAACCATGAATTCAAATGTTTAACAAAGTACAAATTATCCATAGGCTTGTATGCACACTTTTGTAAAACCAAGAAATCAAATATCCACCAAAAAAAAAATACAACATTTTTTCCTTATTCCTTGAAAATTGGTACCCATGAAAATAAATGAATCCACAGTATGGGATCCATGCAATATCTTCTGTCCGTTAGGCAGGGTTCACCTGACCTCAACCTCTTTTCTTAGAACTGTGATTAAGGTTAATGTTTAAGTGATTAGTTCCGTTTCTTAGATACTATAAGCAGTTGGTCAACTATATTTGGTGTATGGAATGGTTGTACAGTGTACATGTCTGTCTGGCAGCTTTCATCTAACCTTTGATTATGGTTTTCATGGTTCATTTGGTTGATGTTAAGTTTTGTGGTTAAGTCTGTTTCTCAGATACTATAAGCAATAGGTCAGCTATATTTGGTGTATGAAATGATTGTAAGGTGTATCTGGCAGGTATCATCTGATCTTGACCTTATTTTTTATGGTTCATTGGTCGATGTTAAGTTTAGTGGTTTAGTTTGTTTCTCAGATCATTTAAGCATTTTATGTATGGAAATTTTCTTTACAGTTTACTCTTGTTTGTGGAACTCTGTTGCACGAAATTTCAAACAGAAGTTTTCCTGTGGTCTTGTACTTTGTTCTATATAAATATATGTATTTCTACATATGATGAGTGGAAGTTTAGGTTGTCTTGAACCAAATTTTTGGTCCCAGGGTTAGGTCAATTAAAATTAATTGGTAGATTTTCATTCCTGCCCGCCCCTCTGAAATCGTCCAGCCCTGATTTTTTCAAAAAAAATTTCAAAGCATCACCCCTAGTATTTTCAACTTATATTTGGTTTTCAGCTATGTTCCCTCTGTACTTGATATACTTGTTTTTCATACCAATGTGTGTCGTGATTCTTGCTCTTTGAATATCATTCATGGGGGTTTATCAATCTGATATGGATGGTTATCACTGCAAAAAGCTTGCAGGTCCAATGTTGTCCTGAAACAATGCTTCATTTTATGGGCACTACAAACATAGCTCAGAAAGCTAAAGAAAATTGATGCAAGTAGTCTTAGAAGACAGCATTCTTCCATATGTTTGCTGAATTCAAAATTAGTTTCTTAAGCAAAAGAATAGTGCTTGCCAATCAGAAATATTATTTCAGAATTTGGAAATAGTTGAAAAAGGATGCAGAATTCTTTATATATAAGCTACTTTAATTACCCTAGCTAACATGAAGAACACACTATGAAAGAGTTTCACAGGAAATAAAAGAAGAAAAATAAAATCCTCCTAGGCGCCCCAGTTTTTTCTATAAGTTGGATGAAAATCTACTTATTAATTTTAGTTGGCCTTATGAAAAGCATTTAAATTGTGTTCGAACGGGCGCATTACATTTGGGCACATTGAGGGATTAAATTTTTTTACTTTTCCATGCAGCTTTTTAGCTCACCTGGCCCAAAGCGCCAAGTAAGCTTTTCTCATCACTTGGCGTCCGTCGATGTCGTCGTCGTCCGTTGTCGTTAGCTTTTTACAAAAATCTTCTCCTCTGAAACCACTGGGCCAAATCAAACCAAACTTGGCCACAATCATCATTAGGGTATCTAGTTTAAAAATGTGTCCGATGACCCTGCCAACCAACCAAGATGGCCGCCATGGCTAAAAATAGAACATAGGGGTAAAATGTAGTTTTTGGCTTATATCTCTGAAACCAAAGCATTTAGAGTAAATCTGACATAGGGTAAAACTGATTATCAGGTCAAGATCTGTCTGCCCTGAAATTTTCAGACAAATCTGACAACCTGTTGTTGGGTTGCTGCCCCTGAATTGGTAATTTTAAGGAAATTTTGCAGTTTTTGGTTATTATCTTGAATATTATTATAGATAGAGATAAACTGTAAACAGCAATAATGTTCAGCAAAGTAAGATCTACAAATAAGTTGTCATGACCAAAATTGTCAGTCGACCCCTTTTGGAGTTATTGCCCTTATTAGTAAAATTTTTAACAATTTTTTGTAAATTTTTGTAATCCTGTACAAAAATCTTCTTCTCTGAAATTACTGAGACAAATTAAACCATACTTGGCCATAATCATTATAAGTGTATCTAGTTTAAAAAATATGTCCGATGACCCCGCCTTCTAACCATCATGGCCGACTTGGTTAAAAATAGAACATAGGGGTAAAATGCAGTTTTTGGTTTATATCTCTGAAACTAAAGCATTTAGAGCAAATCTGACAGGTGGCAAAAATGTTCATCAGATTTAGATTTATCTGCCCTGAAATTTTCAGACGAATACGACAACCCGTTGTTGGGTTGCTGCCCCTGAGTTAGTAATTTTACAAAAATTTTGCAGTTTTTTGTTATTATCTTAGATATCATTATAATATCTAATATCTAATACTATTAATTATGATTTTAACCTTATTTTACATGATTTCCAAAGCATCAGTAAATACAGGTGAGCGACACAGGCTCTTGAGAGCCTCTAGTTGGTTATTATCTTGAATATTATTATAGATAGAGATAAACTGTAAACAGCAATAATGTTCAGCAAAGTAAGATCTACAAATAAGTTGTCATGACAAAAATTGTCAGTTGTCCCCTTTAGGAGTTATTGCCCTTAATAGTCAATTTTTAACAATTTTTTGTAAATTTTTGTAATCTTTTACAAAAATCTTCTTCTCTTAAACTACGGAGACAAATTTAACCATACTTGGCCATAATCATTATTAGGGTATCTAGTTTAAAAAATTTGTCCGATGACCCCGCCTTCCAACCATCATGGCCGACTTGGTTAAAAATAGAACATAGGGGTAAAATGCAGTTTTTGGTTTATATCTCTGAAACTAAAGCATTTAGAGCAAATCTGACAGGTGGCAAAAATGTTCATCAGATTTAGATTTATCTGCCCTGAAATTTTCAGACGAATCCGACAACCTGTTGTTGGGTTGCTGCCCCTGAGTTAGTAATTTTACAAAAATTTTGCAGTTTTTTGTTATTATCTTAGATATCATTATAATATCTAATACTATTAATTATGATTTTAACCTTATTTTACATTATTTCCAAAGCATCAGTAAATACAGGTGAGCGACACAGGTTCTTGAGAGCCTCTAGTTATTATATTTGCACACATTGATTTGACAGGTAATACAGGTAAATATAAAGATAATTTGTAATAGATATGTCGATTGGTATTAATTTTGAACATATTTATCATTTTGAATTATATTTTTCTGTTTCCAAACTAAGAATGCTTGATACACCAGCAGTTGTACGTAGAAGTAAGAAATACAAAAAGAAGTATCTGATGGAATAGTTTCGAAAATACCACCAACTTCCACTTCTTAATTTGTGAGCAGGGGACTAAGACTAACAGGAGGGTTACTTGTAAATAGTTGAATAATTAAATAAGTGTACTTTACTAGTGTTTACCTAAATTTACATGTGTTTACCTGTAAAATGAATGTGTGTAAATGTAATCAAAAGCTGCTTGCAAACATAATGATTTAAATGTAATCAAATGTAATCAAAAGCTGGTTGCAAACATAATGATTTACAAATGTAATGGTTATGAGCACACATGTAATGCACCAGTTTGAACCAATACACACATGTCAAAACACGACCTCAGGGATTAAGATGGATTGCAGAGTTAATCTGACAATACACCTGTAATAAAATGTATGGTTATTGACCACTGTATTGATATATGACATACTTTATCCGCAAGTGTGTAATGGAGATCATCTTTGATTTCCATTCTAATTAATTAGGTATACATGTTCTAGAGTATATAAAAATAATTAGCGTGTTTTTAGCTCACTGTTCCAAAGGAACGGTTAGCTTCAGCCATCACTTGTCGTCGTCGTCGTCCGAAGACACATTGGTTTTCGCACTCTAACTTTAGTTTAAGTGAATGGATCTCTATGAAATTTTACCATAAGGTTCAATACCACAAAAGGAAGGTTGCGATTGATTTTGGGGGTTATGGTACCAACAGTTAAGGAATTAGGGGCCAAAAATAAGCATTTTTGTAACTTCCAGACATAACTTGTGTGTTAGTGTATGGATCTCTCTGACATCGTACCACAAGGTTCCATATCACAAAGGGAATGCTGGGATTAAATTTGATTTTGGGTGTAATTGCCTCCAAATTTTAGGAATTAGGGGCCAAAAAAGGGGCAAAAAACAAGCATTTTTCTAGTTTCATGACAATAACTTGTGTGTAAGTGTATGGATCTTTATGAAATTGTATTACAAGGTTCCATATCACAAAGGGAAAGCTGGAATTGAGTTTGGGGGTAGTTGCCCAAAACGTTTAGGAAAAAGGGGCCAAAAATAAGCATTTTTTTAGTTTCAAGACAATAACTTGTGTTCAAGTGTATGGATCTCTCTGAAATTGTACTGCAAGGTACTATACCACAAAGGGAAGGCTGGGATTGATTTTGGGGGTAATTGCCTCAAAATTTTAGGAATTAGGGGCCAAAAAAACAATCATTTTTCTAGTTTCAGGACAATAACTTGTGTGTAAGTGTATGGATCTTTATGAAATTGTACTACAAGGTTCCATATCACAAAGGGAAAGCTGGGTTTGAGTTTAGGGGTAATTGCCTTAAACGTTTAGAAATTTGGGGCCAAAAAACAAGCATTTTTCTAGTTTCCAGACAATAACTTTTGTTCAAGTGTATGGATCTCTCTGAAATTGTACTGCAAGGTACCATACCACAAAGCGAAGGCTGGGATTGAGTTTGGGGATGATGAATCATAAGGGGGTTCAAAAAATTTGGGGGGGGGGGATTTTTTTTTCTTTAAAATTTTCCATTTTAAATTGGTTATTTCTGATTTATATATAAAAGCAAATAATAATGATATGGTTTGAATAGGTAAATTAAATTTTTTTAAGTTCTTAGACCACTTTCATTCTGTGTCAGAAACCTATGCTGTGTCAAATATTTAATTACAATCCAAATTCTGTGGTGTATCAAGCTTGAATGTTGTGTCCATACTTGCCCCAACTGTTCAGGGTTTGACCTCTGCGGTCGTATCAAGCTGCGCCCAGCGGAGCATTTTATTGGTTATTATCTTGAATATTATTAATTATAAAGATAAACTGTGAACAGCAAAAATGTTCAGCAAAGTAAGATCTACAAATAAGTTACTATGACCCAAATTGTCAAATGTGTCCTTAAGGAGTTATTGCCCTTTAAAGACAATTTTTCACAATTTGTTCATCTAGTTTGCTCGCTTTAAAAAATCTTCTCCTTTGAAACTGCTGAATCAATTTCAGCCAAACTTGGGCTGAATGAGTTTCAGAGTATCTAGTATAAATTTTGTATTTTATTTTCTTGTACGTCAAGAAACATAGTCACTATGGCTAAAATGGAACATAGGGGTAAAATGTATTTCTTTGCTTTTGAAGAAAATATGACAGATACAAAGAACATTTCAATGGAATTTTTAAGCCACTCATTAATATATATTAAAAAGCAAAAATAATCATTGATGAAAGATTTAAGCAAAAAATTACAGGTGAGCGATTCTTGAGAGCCTCTTGTTATACATTGTTCTAGAGTAGATAAAATTAATTAGCATGTTTTATAATAAATCACCAGTAATCATACATTAATGAACTTGGTTGTGCCTAAAGTAAGTATTAAGTGAGCAACTCAGACAATCTACATCTTTTATCTTTTGTTTGCCCTCTCAGAAAAAAAGCTCAAAATAAGATGAAAATGAAAGGTATTTTAAACCTAAATTTTCTCAAATCTGAGAAAACATATTAACTTCTGTTATGAAAGGATTGTGTTGTGTTTCTTTCTTCATGTTTTCTGCTCTAAACACCTTAAATGTCCATCTTGATTGTTTTTCCAAATTCAAACGATAATGGCACATTTAAACTTTGTCGACACTTACTTAATGAAAGAATACATCCATACTATGTGCGTAAAGGAAAGTGACATTTTATTGTTCTTTCAGAAAGTTTATTCGTAGCAAAGAGACAAAAACAATCACTAAATAATAATAAAAGAGATACATTTACATCGATCTCAGACCAGTATATTGATTCCCTACCAATATCTTGCTGGATTTCTACTGGGTATGTTGAAACATTTCTCTGGCTGGATTTCTACTGGGTATGTTGAAACATTTCTCTGGCTGGATTTCTACTGGGTATGTTGAAACATTTCTCTGGCTGGATTTCTACTGGGTATGTTGAGTTGAAACATTTCTCTGGCTGGATTTCTACTGGGTATGTTGAAACATTTCTCTGGCTGGATGACTTCCAGATAACAAGAGTCAACAGTTTCCATGTTAAATTAAGGGATAAGGCATTTTATGCCTCTTTTGCGGAGAACTAGTGAAGATGACTTTAATTCAACTTCTTGTTTTTCTAATTTAGGTGATATTATGATGAATTTAGTTGATCTGCAGCAGTATGATGGACCATGGAAGTATTCAGAAGATTTAGTGAAGTTCTTAGGAACAAATGAAGAAAATTTTCAGAAATTTAAAAGTTACAAAAGTTACAAGGTATTTTTATTTTATTATTCCTTCTTTAATATGTTAAAACTCATTTATTGTAAGAATCAATACAGATATTGTACAAGTGTGAAATCCTATCTCTTTGGGCCAAGTGAGCTTTTCTTATCACTTTGCATCCATCGTCGTCATCGTCATCCGTTAACTTTTACAAAAATCTTCTTCTCTGAAACTACTGGACCAAAATTTTACAAACTTGGCTACAATCATCATTGGAGAATCTAATTTAAAAAATTTGTCCAATGACAACCAAGATGGCCTTCATGGCTAATAATAGAACATAGGGATAAAATGCAAGTTTTGTCTATTATTTTGAAAACCATTAATACAAAGAGAAAAACTGACAGTTTAGAAATGTTCAGAATGTTGAACTCTACTAATTGTCCATACATGTCAAAACTTTAAGACGACTTCTTATAGGAGTTATTGCCCTTAAAAGACAAATTTTACAATTTTGTTTTTCATTTTTGCCTATTATCTTGAAAACTATGATAGATAGAGAGATACTTTAAATTGCAAAAATGATTAGCAAGACAGGTTCTACAATTAAGTCTAACATGATGGAAATCGTCAATCGACTCCTTATTAGAGTTATTGTCCTTTGATGACGATGTTTACCAATTTTTTGCATTTTTGCCTTATATCTTAAAAATTATATAAGTTAGATAGAAACTTAAATAAGCAAAAATAATCAGCAAGACAAGGTCTACAATTAAGACAAGATGGAGGAAATCGTCTGACGAGTCCTTATTCGAGTTATTGCCCTTTAATGACGATTTTTACCAATTTTTGGCGTTTTGCCTTATATGTTAAAATTTGAAATAAATAAATAGACACTTTAAATCACAAAAATGATCATCAAGGCAAGATCTACTAACAAATCAAATTTTGCCGATATAGTTATGAGACTGTCTCTCTTTTAAGGAGTGATTGCCCTTAAATGACGATTTTTTTTTACTCTCTTTTGTGTTTTGAGCAAAAACTAAAGAGGATAGAGAGAAAATAAACTGATTAAATGATCAGCAATACAAGATCAACAAAACAAGAGATTTTTGTCATGAATTCTATTCTCGTCTACAATGTTGGAGAGTGTCCTTTGTTGAATATGCACATAGACCAAGGTGAGCGCCTCTAGTTTTAAGAACCTTTTAAGCTAACTTGACCGTTCTTTAATATGTTAAAACTCATTCATTGTAAAAATCAATACAGATATTGTACAAGTTTGAAATCCTATCTCTTTTTTTTTGTCCCTCGCTCAACGCATTGGGGGGGACATAGAAATACCGGGCGTCTGTCCGTCAGGTCTTGTTAGCGCTGTCATAAGAACAATTCTTGCCAGATTTTTGTGAAACTCATATCATAGGTTTATTTTAGCAATGTCCTGGAGGAGTTCAAAAATCGGTGCCGAACAATTATTTTTAAAAGAATTATGCCCTTGGAAACATTACAGCTCTTCTGTAAAAGCATGCAAAGCAAACCTTTGATCAACTTGCTTGCTATGTTTGCTTGGATGTTTGTAAACAATAGATAGGCGGAGTTTCAGTCTGTTTTATATATACTGGGATTTGATTGGACAATAAAAATTGACATGCAATGAAGTTTATATTTATTGTCCAATCAAATTCCATTATATAGTAAACAGACTACCTAACTTTTGTTTACAAACATCCAAACAAACATAGCAAGCAAGTTGATCAAAGGTTTGCTTTGCATGCTTTTATAGAAGAGCTGTAATTATATGGATATTGCATCTTTAGCATTCTCGCATTCAATTTTTGCCAGCTTTTTATGAAACTTATATCATAGGTTTATATTAGTAATGTCTTTGACATGTTCAAAAATCAGTGCCGATCAATTACTTTTAAAAGAGATATGTCTCTTGGTAACATTAATTTATGGGAAATTGCATTATTAGTGCTCTCATGTGTGCAATTTTTGCAAGATTTTTATGAAACTTATATCATAGGTTTATATCAGCAATGTCTTTGACATGTTCAAAAATCAGTGCCGATCAATTATTTTTAAAAGATATATGTCTCTTGGTAACATTAATTTATGGGAAATTGCATTATTAGTGCTCTCATATGTGCAATTTTTGCCAGAATTTTATGAAACATTATACGACCGCAAAAAAAAAATGCGGTTGTATATTGGTATGACGTCGGCGGTGTCGTCATCATTTTTGTCGAGCCTGCGACTTTTATCGCAGAAAGCTCGACATAGGGATAGTGATCCGGCGGCGGCGTTAGCTAACTTCTTAAAAGCTTTATATTTTAGAAGGTGGAAGGTCTGGATGCTTCATACTTTGTATATGGATGCCTCATGTTACGAAGTTTCCGTCAGTCACATGTGCAATGTCCTTGACCTCATTTTCATGGTTCAGTGACTACTTGAAAAAAAAGTTCAGATTTTTTGTAATGTTAGATTCTCTCTTATTATAAGTAATAGGATAACTATATTTGGTATGTGCGTACCTTGCAAGGTCCTCATGCCCGTCAGACAGTTTTCACTGGACCTCGACCTCATTTCATGGATCAGTGAACAAGGCTAAGTTTTGGTGGTCAAGTCCATATCTCAGATACTATAAGCAATAGGTCTAGTATATTCGGTGTATGGAAGGACTGTAAGGTGTACATGTCCAACTGGCAGGTGTCATCTGACCTTGACCTCATTTGCATGGTTCAGTGGTTATAGTTAAGTTTTTGTGTTTTGGTCTGTTTTTCTTATACTGTATGCCATAGGTCTACTATATTTGGTGAATGGAATGATTGTAAGGTGTACATGTCTAGCGGGCAGGTGTCATCTGACCTTGACCTCAGTTTCAAGGTTCAGTGGTCAAAGTTAAGTTTTTGAGTTTTGGTCTTTTTTTCTAATACTATATGCAATAGTTCAACTATATTTGGTATGTGCGTACCTTGCAAGGTCCTCATGCCCGTCAGACAGTTTTCACTTGACCTCGACCTCATTTCATGGATCAGTGAACAAGGTTAAGTTTTGGTGGTCAAGTCCATATCTCAGATACTATAAGCAATAGGTCTAGTATATTTGGTGTATGGAAGGACTGTAAGGTGTACATGTCCAACTGGCAGGTGTCATCTGACCTTGACCTCATTTTCATGGTTCAGTGGTTATAGTTAAGTTTTTGTGTTTTGGTCTGTTTTTCTTAAACTATAAGCAATAGGTCAACTATATTTGTTGTATGGAAGAATTGTTAGCTGTACATGCCTGCCTAGCATGGTTCATCTGACCTTGACCTCATTTTCATGGTTCATTGGTCAATGTTAAGGTTACTTGGTTAATGTTAAGTTTATGTGACAGTTGTAATAAAGCTTTATATTTAGGACTGTCAACATAATATCAATGATTAGTAAAGAAGGCGAGACATTTCAGCGTGTGCACTCTTGTTGTAACTTCCAGACATAACTTGTGTGTTAGTGTATGGATCTCTCTGACATTGTACCACAAGGTTCCATATCACAAAGGGAATGCTGGGATTGATTTTGGGGGTAATTGCCTCAAAATTTTAGGAATTAGGGGCAAAAAACAAGCATTTTTCTAGTTTCATGACAATAACTTGTGTGTTAGTGTATGGATCTCTCTGAAATTGTACTGCAAGGTACCATACCACAAATGGAAGGCTGGGGTTGATTTTGGGGGTAATTGCCTCCAAATTTTAGGAATTAGGGGCCAAAAAGGGGCAAAAAACAAGCATTTTTGTCGAGCCTGCGACTTTTGTCGCAGAAAGCTCAACATAGGGATAGTGGTCTGGCGGCGGTAGCGGCGTTAGCTAACTTCTTTAAAGCTTTATATTTTAGAAGGTGGAAGACCTGGATGCTTCATACTTTGTATATGGATGCCTCATGTTACGAAGTTTCCGTCAGTCACATGTCCAATGTCCTTGACCTCATTTTCATGGTTCAGTGACTACTTGAAAAAAAAGTTCAGATTTTTTGTAATGTTAAATTCTCTCTTATTATAAGTAATAGGATAACTATATTTGGTATGTGCGTACCTTGCAAGGTCCTCATGCCTGTCAGACAGTTTTCACTTGACCTCGACCTCATTTCATGGACCAGTGAACAAGGTTAAGTTTTGGTGGTCAAGTCCATATCTCAGATACTATAAGCAATAGGTCTAGTATATTCGGTGTATGGAAGGACTGTAAGGTGTACATGTCCAATTGGCAGGTGTCATCTGTCCTTGACCTCATTTTCATGGTTCAGTGGTTATAGTTAAGTTTTTGTGTTTTGGTCTGTTTTTCTTATACTGTATGCAATATTAATAGGTCTACTATATTTGGTGTATGGAATGATTGTAAAGTGTACATGTCTAGCTGGCAGGTGTCATCTGACCTTGACCTCATTTTCATGGTTCAGTGGTTATAGTTAAGTTTTTGTGTTTTGGTCCGTTTTTTCTTATACTTTATGCAATAGGTCTACTATATTTGGTGTATGGAATGATTGTAAGGTGTACATGTCCAACTGGCAGGTGTCATCTGACTTTGACCTCATTTTCATGGTTCAGTGGTCAAAGTTAAGTTTTTGAGTTTTTGGTTTTTTTTCTTATACTATATGCAATAAGTCAACTATATTTGGTGTATGGAAATATTCTATGATGTACATGTCAGTCTCGCAGGTTTTATTTGACCTTGACCTCATGTTCATGGTTCATTGCTCAGTGTTAAGTTTATGTGTTTCAGTCTGTTTTTCTTAAACTATAAGCAATAGGTCAGCTATATTTGTTGTATGGAAGGATTGTAAGCTGTTCATGTCTGCCTGGCATGGTTCATCTGACCTTGACCTCATTTTCACGATTCATTGTTCAATGTTTAGTTTTCTTGGTTAAGTCTGTTTCTTAGAAACTATAAGCAATAGGTCAACTATATTTAGTGTATTGAATGATTGTAAGGTGTACATGTATTTCTAGTTTGGTTTATATGACCTTGACTTCATTTTCTTGGATCATGTTAAGTTTTTGTAATAGTTGTAGTA